AAAAAAATTTACACCCCCCCACCCCCCCCCCCCTTAAAAAAACAAAAAAAACAATGATTCAATGATTGTCAATATTCTAAACAAAAACATCATACACAGTTTTATAAAAATAGAATGGATAAATTTGTGTAAATACATGTAATATAATTATGAACAAATGCAGGCTGTAAAGATCAAATGCAAGTTAATTATATCTATTTTTGATTGTCGATTTTTCGAGTGTTTAATAGTCAATTATAGTATATTAGAACAACAACAACGCAAAACAGCAGTAAAAAAATATCATTTTTTAACATAATTTTTATCGGGCAAATCCCTCTCCGGTCACTTCATCAATCGCATAGTAGAGATTCTGTTTTCCATTCGAGCGTTCAATGTTATTTTGCGCAAGGGCTTGGTTCAACTATGAGTTGCGCAAATACGTCACCGGGAAAAAAACGAATTGTAAGCTTGGTAAACAAGTCTTGAGGCAATATATACGTATAAATGTTAACCACATCATTTCTAGGAAAAACAAACACGCTAGGCATGAAACTGATAAAGGAGTTCCTGTGTCAACAACTTCGTGATTATAGCGCAACCTACTCTTAATGTACATCGACAACAGTCAGTACAATTTGGAACCCACACCAGGGAAACGCCACTAGTGTCTCATGTTGTGCAGAATGACAGAGCCCAGGCCCTGCCCTCTCACCCGTCCACCTGTCTCAATCCTCTCATTTCATGTTTGCCCACTCTCTTAGACTTCCATTTCAAAACTTAAATTGGTTGAACAGCAACAGCAGCAGCCACACAATTCACAGGGTTTGTATTTGTTTCAACATGTAGCGATCAAGTTTTAATCCTGATTGTGGCAAGTTTATATAAAATAACAACTGTGATAAAATACCAACAAAATTGATACTATTCCAACAAATGTGATAAAATACCAACAAATGTGATAAAATACCAACACATGTGATAAAATACCAACAAATGTGATAAAATACCAACTAATGTGATAAAATACCAACTAATGTGATAAAATACCAACAACTGTGATAAAATACCAACAACTGTGATGAAAAAGCAACAAATGTGATAAAATACAAACTAATGTGATAAAATACCAACTAATGTGATAAAATACCAAAAACTGTGATAAATTACCAACACATGTGATACATTTTACACGCATGGGCGTCTAGGGTAAGGAGCATGGACAAAAAAGATTACAAACATAATATCCCTGGCTTTAGAAAAAAAGAAAGTACTATGTCCCTGCTGTCACAGTACTAAGCAAAAGGAATTTTTATATATTTTTTTTTTAAAATCCTCCTCGCCTCTCCACTGTTATTTAGCTCCCATTATCACAAGCAAATCATTATCAAATCAACAATACATAATAAAAAATAAATCTCTACTTAAACTTGCGGGAAGCTTAGCGAATACATAAAAAAAAACAAAAAAAACAATAGCCCAGACTCAAGAAAACAAAAGTACCATTTTGAAAAAAAAAAAAATTAATTTATCTTTGTTTGACAAATTATTATAACTATTATTATAGTGGTTTTATATAGAGCAGTATTCCATCCTAGGGCTAGGCTCACTGCGCTTCACATAAAAATTAACAAGTACAGAAAATTATACATTTAAAAACAACTAGTAAAAAACTTGACCTCACTCACCAAAGTACTAACTACCCCTGTCTACCCCCATGGACAGCACCCTCTGGCATTATAAAACAATAAAGTTAGTGCTATTTCCCTGCTGTCACACTACTCAGCGAAAGGAACAGTTTTTAGATCCTCTTCGTCTCTCCAGTGTTATTTAAATTGCATTATCACGAGCAAATCTCTGCCACTTTGGAATGAAGACGAACACACGAGGATTGATCAGCCACTGTGGTTGTAAGGAGATCACACGATGATTGATCAGCCACTGTGGTTGTAAGGAGAACACACGATGATCGATCAGCCACTGTGGTTGTAAGGAGAACACACGATGATCGATCAGCCACTGTGGTTGTAAGGAGAACACACGATGATTGATCAGCTACTGTGGTTGTAAGGAGAACACACGATGATTGATCAGCCACTGTGGTTGTAAGGAGAACACACGATGATCGATCAGCCACTGTGGTTGTAAGGAGAACACACGATGATTGATCAGCCACTGTGGTTGTAAGGAGAACACACGAGGATTGATCAGCCACTGTGGTTGTAAGGAGAACACACGATGATTGATCAGCCACTGTGGTTGTATGGAGAACATACGAGGATTGACATGTCACTGTGATTGTAAGAAGAACATACAAGGATTGATCAGCCACTGTGGTTGTAAGAGAACATACGAGGATTGATATGCCACTGTGGTATTAATACGAACATACGAAGATTCGTATTCAAAATAAAGCTAATTTGTACTTTAAATATTTTACATCTTCTCGGACTGAAGTAACATTTTTTCAAAGATTAAATAGAAATTCCACCTCCATAAGTTTTGCGTGTCTGCAGTTAAATATATTTTGTGCCCATTTGTTGTTAAGTGTTTACTTATACAAGTGAAAAGCTGAGGGAGAACTTTGCCCCTAGAGCGAAGCTAGAGCATTGCTCCTGGCTTCTCCGTTGTTGACGCAAGAGTTTATAGGACATTTTCAACCGGGAGGCCATTCTAATAATTAAGCGTGAATAGCACCGGTCTATCCGAGGAAATCTCGAGCAGAAATTCATTTCGTACACTTAAAAAATGCCATTAGCGGCTCCGCATCTGACTGATGGGTTGACAGAAAAGAAGTAACTTTTCCAAATTTTTTGACAATTTGAATCAATTGACAAAGATTAAGATTAAGTATTTTAAAAAAAAAGTACTCCCTCTCTCTCTCTCCATGCACCCTCTCTATCTCCATCACACTCTCTCTTCTTTCCCTCTTCTTTCTCCCTCTCTTTCTCCCTCTCTCTCACTTTCTCTCCAACCCTCTCTATTTAATAAATGCAAAATTTGATTCTCTATGACACTGAAAGAGGACAAGAGCTTCCAAAACTCATCATGTTTCGTCTGCAATTTCTCAGGAGTAATTTGGAGTAACCACATGGGATCTGATGTGTTGCGCATTGAGTGGGAAGGGCCACGTGGATTTCGGTCTTCTGCGGAGTACTCGGGATAATCTAATAAATTGTGGTCAGAATAACAGTGCAATTTAGGACAACTGATTGTATGTGAGAATCACTGGCATAGCTACACCAGTATCCATACATAGACCTTACCTTTAAGGAAAAAAAGATAAGAAAAACAACTCAGTCATAAACGCAAATACAACCGAAAACTATTGTTTATAAAAAATTAGTGTGGACCGGGATCAATAGTAAAATCAATCAATTCTCAAAGCGTGCACTATTGTACAATGTCAGATTATAGCAAGAAGTCAACCGATACAACTGTCTATGAGTGTTTGAAGTTGGCGTTAAAAAATGCTCTGTGTTCTTTGCACTTAATTTAAAAAAAACACACACAACAAAAGGATGAAATTAGCAGTGTGTTAAACGCTGCTGGTCGATTGGTCGTCTGAAACCAAGTTGTCTGCCTTGCTTAGATCTTCTAAATCTGTTTTGTCGCTGACCCCATCGTCCCCGAGACGGGTGACTATCGTTTCTGTGGATTCTATCCTACTGAGCCGCCTGTAAGGATTGTGTCCTCCGATGGGTCCGATGTCGTCTTCGTTATTGTTCTCCGAGTAGACGGAGTCACTCCTAGAAACGTGCCCTTGTTGTTCATTGCGTTTGTTCGACTCCCCATCCGTGCCAATAGCGTTCTCTGAGAAACGGCGCGAGCTGTGCGGAGGTTGCCCGACGACCTGCATCTCGTGCCGCTCCTTCTCATGCTCCCGATACTTCTGCAGCTTGTGCTCGTAAAACTCCAGCAGGGTCATTCCGATGAGGACGACGTTCTTCAGCGCGAACGGGGAGAACCCGACGCTCAGCCCGTGCCAGAGGATGAGCCTCGTTATCAGGTTGGGGACGTTGAAGACGAGGACCACGAGCAGCCGATGGAGATAGATCATCGGCCTGGTCAGCTTATCCCGGCCAAACTGCGTCCGGCTCAGGGTCAGCAAAGGGACCGTGGGCAGCAATAGATTGAGTGACGCCTGGGCTAGGATCATCTTCTTCAAGCCGCCCCAGAGAGAGTCGCGCTCGCCCTCGCTGAGGCACACCTCAAGGATGTCCACCGTGTCCAAAATGTCAAAGACGACCGTGTTGGTCAGCGCGTCAATGTACGTCCGCCGGTCGCTACCGACCGGGGCGTCGTGCTGCGTGTTCAACAGAAAGAGAAATATACAGCTCCCCATGGCGACCGTTGTCTTAAAAGTGTTTGGACCGAAAAACGTCGCCGCCCCTTCGAGCTCGATGGCGTCGTTTTCCAGAACGAGGATGACCTTGACCGAGACGCTGACGTTGATCAGCAGCCACGAAACCCAAGAAATGCTGTGAAAGGTTGCGCGGAAATTTTCGCTGTTTCTCTGCTGGCTCAGCGTGTAGCTGGAGTAGATGATACTGGCGACGAGCACGGCCAGATTTACGGCATCGGACACCAGCCAGCAGAGGTGGACGTCCGACAGGTTGTACACCAGGTAGTAGTTCAAGGTGCCGGCCTGGACGAGGAACAAAATGACGCACATCAGACCCGCGGGGATGTTATTTAGTTTTTGGCAGATGAAAACGAGCGAGTCCCCCACTCTGGTCATCTCGACAACAGGTCAAGACATCTTAAACAGCACAGTAGCACACAGCACAATGAAAATATAGACCTCGGCACCACAACACAATGAACATAGACTCCAGCACCCCGACACAATGAACATAGACTCCAGCACCACAACACAATGAACATAGACTCCAGCACCACGACACAATGAACATAGACTCCAGCACCACGACACAATGAACATAGACTCCAGCACCACGACACAATGAACATAGACTCCAGCACCACGACACAATGAACATAGACTCCAGCACCACGACACAATGAACATAGACTCCAGCACCACGACACAATGAACATAGACTCCAGCACCACGACACAATGAACATAGACTCCAGCACCACGACACAATGAACATAGACGCCAGCACCACGACACAATGAACATAGACTCCAGCACCACGACACAATGAACATAGACTCCAGCACCACGACACAATGAACATAGACTCCAGCACCACGACACAATGAATCCTCCTGGTGATGAAATGATGCTGGGAACGTCTCCAGTTTGTGCCTTGTACAAATTTTTACTTAATCATTTTTCAACCGTGTTCTGGTCTATAATAATGGTATCGTCATGTCCACGATATGGAATTTACTTTTTTAAAGATAACACGAACCAAACTCCACCTTGTGGTATCAAACAGACCATGCACTAATGTCGCATTCCCATCGTGCCAAACAGATTTTGTTACGTTACTGTGGAAAAAAAAAGGAGGGGGGGGTTAAAAGGGGGACGGTTAACATATTATATAAGAGCGATTAGGAAAACTACATTACCGTCTTTGTTAAGAGCGCTGGTTAACTCGGTGCCAATAATTGATAGGAAAATAAAAAAAAGGAAAAAAAAAAAAAAAAAAAAAAAGGAAAAAAAAAAAAAAAAAAAAGCCAAGTTTCTCCATCTTGAAAGCAGTGCATGTCTAGAGGAGGATCTTCTAGAGCTACGTTCGTATCTCCCTTATCCTGCAAAACGTAGTAAGATTTAAATCATACTGTTGTTCTTTTAGGCGACGCCTCTGTAGGCGTCTTAAGTTAAGTATATAGAACCCCCCCCCCCCCCCCCCCAATTCTTTTAGGCGCCGCCTCTGTAGGCGTCTTAAATTAAGTAAAAAGACCCCCCCCCCCCCCACCCCAAAAAAAACAACAACAACCCTCCCCGCACATTTTATAGAAACTTGTCTGAATACAGATGTTGAACCTGGGGTAGGAGGAGGTGTTCTACATCAAGCAGACCAGTGATTCTCACTTGGTTCAACGCGGGTGCTTGGCGTGTCAATGCGCATGGCGGTGTGGATGTATTAATTAATCCTCGCGGACGAAAACAAACACGGTTGCCGTAGGTGCAGCGACACGCGTGCCATAATGCTGTTGTCGCTGGGGCTGCTGCTGTTGTTTGGGGGAGGGGTGGGAATCGCCGAAAACATGTTTGGGAGACAGGGAATTAAGGAAAAACGGCTGTCTTGTTGCAGTTAGTCATCCCTTGACGTCGTAAAGGGTAACTATGCAAATAGGGTTCAGCTTGGTCTAAAGATGTGTTTCTCAAAATGTGGGAAATTTGAAGATCATAAACGGAGAACTTCGTCTCTCAGACAGAGCAATAGATTTATGTTTTTTTTTTGTTTGTTTGTTTGTTTCTTTTTTTAAGCGCTCTGATTTCATTAAATCTGTTGGAAGCTCTTAAGGAAAGGCGTGGCTTGTTGGAAGATCTTATGGAAAGATGTGGCTTGTAGAGAGATCATATGAAAAGGTGTGGTTTGTTGAAAGGGCGTACGGAAAGATACACGATCTTGCTGGTTGCCGTCCATGGTTTGCCTTGTAAAAGTTATGTGGTGGGGTGGGTGAATATACATTGCTGTTCTTTATTTCATAAATGGATTTTATTGTAATGTCATGATAATGTCTCTTTTGATAAAATTTTTATGTACAGCGAAGTCAGCCCAGCAATAGGCTGGGGTACCGTGCTATATAAGACCCCTTATTATTATTATTATTATTATTAAAGATGTGGTCTGTAGAGAGATGACATGAAAAGGTGTGGTTTGTTGAAAGGGCATCCGGAAAGATGTGGTTTGTAGAGAGTTGACATGAAAAGGTGTGGTTTGTTGAAAGGGCATCCTGAAAGATGTGGTTTGTAGAGAGATGACATGAAAAGGTGTGGTTTGTTGAAAGGGCATTCGGAAAGATGTGGTTTGTAGAGAGATGACATGAAAAGGTGTGGTTTGTTGAAAGGGCATACGGAAAGATGTGGTTTGTAGAGAGATGACATGAAAAGGTGTGGTTTGTTGAAAGGGCATCCGGAAAGATGTGGTTTGTAGAGAGATGACATGAAAAGGTGTGGTTTGTTGAAAGGGCATACGGAAAGATGTGGTTTGTAGAGAGATGACATGAAAAGGTGTGGTTTGTTGAAAGGGCATCCGGAAAGATGTGGTTTGTAGAGAGATGACATGAAAAGGTGTGGTTTGTTGAAAGGGCATACGGAAAGATGTGGTTTGTAGAGAGATGACATGAAAAGGTGTGGTTTGTTGAAAGGGCATCCGGAAAGATGTGGTTTGTAGAGAGATGACATGAAAAGGTGTGGTTTGTTGAAAGGGCATCCGGAAAGATGTGGCTTGTAGATAGATCAAATGAAAAGGTGTGGATTGTTGAAAGGGCAACCAGAAAGATGTGGCTTGTAGAAAGCACCTATGAAAAGTTGTGGTTTGTTGAAAGGGCAACCAGAAAGATGTGGCTTGTAGAAAGCACCTATGAAAAGGTGTGGATTGTTGAAAGGGCAACCATAAAGATGTGGCTTGTAGAAAGCACCTATGAAAAGGTGTGGATTGTTGAAAGGGCAACCAGAAAGATGTGGCTTGTAGAAAGCACCTATGAAAAGGTATGATTTGTTGATAGATGGTGAGGATGATGAATGATAAACCTCGAGGCCTGGTCCAGCTGTGAAACTGAAATTTAATATTTCACGCCTGCATGGGGGCGGGGGGGGGATGGGGGGAATTTTGTGTTTGTTTAAAAACTCCCACTGAAAATGACAGCTGGGACACTAAACCCCTTTTTTTAAAAAATTAGGTTCTCAGTTGAACGTGGGGGAAAACATTTTGAGAAACACTGATTCATAGGACTCACTCCCCCTCCCCCCCCCCTCCAAAACAAAAGCGTGTTAGCATCACTTTATTGACAGAAGCATAAACGAATTTGGCAAACGTTTACAAGAAGTCACAGAAAAGCGATGGTGGTGGTTTGGGGGGGGGGGAGGGGTGACGCATTCGGCATGTTTTCTGAATAATGTAATATTTGGCATACAAGTGTAAATGAAAAAAACCAACAACAACAATGTATTAATTAATTTTTATGAAATAAATATTCTCTACGAGATTTTCACCCATTTGGGGGGGGGGGCACCGCACCTTGTATATATACATATATATATAGGTTATGTATATGTATATTTTAAGATTCATTTATTTATATATATGATAAGCAATCTCTTCATTTTGATTACGACCGTAAATTGCCATCTAAATATAAAAGCTATTAAAAAAAAAAATCACAATTGGTGAAATCTAAGAAATAAATAATAAAATGAGTTCAGAGCGTCGTCGAACGCCGCAATTTGAGAAACAGTGAACAGAAACAACAGTTATTCAATAAGGATGGCATTTATCCCAAAATGGCTGCGACTATCCGCACCCAGGTACCAGAAGTGAGAGGTTGGGATGAAACAACTATTTAAAATAGTATGGTTGGTTTTGTAAGACAAAAATGAGGGATCAAATGAAAGATAATTGGATGGACTATATACTTAACTTACTTCTTCAGTTTAACTAAAATAAACTACCACAAATGACCCCCGAATGGATATCCTAAAGTTCTTTTATGGACATTCTAAAGTTCTTTTATGGCCAGTCTTTGTTCTTTTATGGACATTCTAAAGTTCTTTTATGGACATTCTAAAGTTCTTTTATGGACATTTTAAAGTTCTTTTATGGACATTCCGAAGTTCTTTTATAGACATTCTGCAGTTCTTTTATGGACATTCTAAAGTTCTTTTATGGACATTTTAAAGTTCTTTTATGGACATTCCGAAGTTCTTTTATGGACATTCTGCAGTTCTTTTATGGACATTCTAAAGTTCTTTTATGGACATTCTAAAGTTCTTTTATGGACATTCTAAAGTTCTTTTATGGACATTCTAAAGTTCTTTTATGGACATTTTAAAGTTCTTTTATGGACATTCTAAAGTTCTTTTATGGAGATTCTAAAGTTCTTCTAAGGTCATTCTAGCGTTCTTTTATGGACATTCTAAAGTTCTTCTAAGGACATTCTAAAGTTCTTACCAATCAAGCCATTTTTATGGCGTACGAAGCGTACGTTAATTTACGTACTGTTGTCGGCATACCTGCACCCAAACTGGAGAGGTTGTTGTTGTTGTTTTTTTTTCTCCGTGTAAAGGAGGTGTCAATAATTCTAGGCCCACCCCGGGTCACCAGGGACGTGGGATCTCAAGCGACGCCAATGATGGCCACTTTCTGACATGATGGACGAGTTAATTGTCTTTTTTAAAAAAAATTTTGACGAGAAGAAAAACTGCGTGCAGCATACTCAGACGGTTTAAGTGATTTATTCATTTATTTGAAGCTTAGATATAAATCAAGAGAAAAATAGAGCAGACGATTACATGCGTTCAAAGGATTTAAACTTTTCCTACATGAAAACGCATTAAACACTTAAAAGATTATTATGGTGTTAAAAATAAGACAAAAACATGTTAAAAGATTTACTTTGAAAAAATCACATCGATTTAAAAAAGGAACATGGACAATTAAGTCTCCAAGATTCCTATAAACGAATAAAGGTCTTCCAATGAATGATTTCGTTTCTTAGAACCGTTTAAACGCCGAGTAAGTTCGTTCAAATAATTATTACGTCTTTCCATCGTGGAATCCGTGAGAAGTTTCCAGATTTTGTCCTCTCTGTTGCCATA